GCAAAGAAACCAAGTCCTCTCCGGTAGCACAAAAGCCCATGTGAACCAACTGCGACAGAGGACGTGGAATCGAGAGCACACGTCAGCTCCGATCACACAGGTGATAAAACATTCGAGCTAAAGATGACCTTCTGGCTCAGAGAAAGAGAGAAGAGAAAAGAATCCGTCAGCTGAGGTCTGAGCTGTGTGAAGGGACGAATACATCAATTAAGCTCCAAGACACACGCTCCTATACGTTGATGTGATGACATTTACATAAATACAGCACCGACCCCAACCGGCCGAGGCGGACGGCTGCCAATCCGGAGCAAGTGTCTGCATGTAAAAGGGGAGTTTTTCCAGGACCCCGTGTCAAGTGCTTACTCACAGTGGGAGTTTCTCGTAACCATAGTTATGCAGGACACAAGCTCATCTCAGACGAACGCTTTTTAGCTCAATTACAAAAAACACATTTTGCGTGCATCAACAGGATTTCCGTTTGAATAACTTAATGCCATAATTCTAACATAATTCAATACAGCCTTCTGGATTATAATGACACACTGCACATGATCTCATGATGTTTGATTTATTTTCCTCCTCTTTCATATCCCATTTAATTGCACCACGGCACGCTACGTGGTCAGCCTTAATATGTGGCAGGGCAGAAGAGGATGCCACCTCGGATCCACTGTTATGATGATGGTTGCGGAGCAACCAGCCCTCCCATAAAACTAAATCTAAAATGAATGGAGCTATAAATACGCGCAGCAGACCAGATATCACTATCAGCATGATCTCTCCTGTTTGTTTTCCATGTGCAGCTTCCTGTTAAGTCGACTCCTGTGTGGAGACTCGTCAAGAGCCGTAACCAATACAAATGAATAACATGAACGCAGAGGGAGCTCAGATAGGAAAAATCCCCTCAAAGCTGCAAAATTCAAGAGGAGTAGGAGGTTTGAAGCGCCGTGGCGATGTGCTGTAAAATGTTGGGCTTTCTGTTAATTGGCTTGGCGTGGCTGTTTTCCTCGTTTTAAAGTAGCTTAGTGGCTCCTCTCGTGCTGACGTCCCGCTGAAAAGACAAAGCTGCAAAACAGACACCCTGTTGCTATGACGCACCACAGCAAACTCTCCCGTGTGAGACAGTAAACAGTGCAGTATAGACAGTGTGGCTATGCTATACTTGTTTTAAACCCCACAGCTGTGGGCTACGATCTGCCTGTAAACCCAGAACCCTTTAATGATCCTGAGAGCCGTTTGGATGGTGGCACGGGACTATTCTGAGTAACACTTAGTGCTTCAAGCTGGATGTCAAAGGGGTGTGGGTGGAGCTCACGTGGATGTGCGTAAGCTCATATTTGCACAACGTATCTCAAGCATCCTATCTATAGCCTAGCTGCCCTTGGGGTGCCATAAACCTTTGTTTAATTTTGTTCCCTGCTGCTGCAATGTGCTGTAGATGAGTTCATTTGCTGTGGGACTGACAGGGTGCAATGCAATGTGGAATCCAAGTCTTTGTCATTTCCAGGGAGCTAGTGCTGCATAGCTGTACTGGGTGGAGATTCTGGAGGACAGTCAGAGCTTCAAACTAAACTATGTTAAAATGTTTTTGACCTGATTTTGACTAAATCAAAGCCAGGCAGGGACTGTTTGGAGTGTGACTTATAATCGTGGAAACATCTGAGCCAAACCTATTCAAGATTGCTTGAGCTTGTGTTTCAAGCACTGGGACGTGGAATCAGATCGATTACAGCAGTGATATGAACTTTATCTCAAATAATGTCCATCCATCCATCTTCAATCCCCGGTTCCTCTTTAGGAACAGACAAGTATGCATAAACACAGTGGTTGTGCAGAGTAGTTCAGCTCAGGAAAACAAGCCATTCTTCACCAGTGTGTTACATAGATGAGAGAAATTTTGGCATCCAGTTTGACAGATTCCTTCAATATTAAGTTACTAACCCGAATTTTGTCATGTCTCTTCGCCCCCTGGGAACAGCTGTCACCGGCTTTGCTAAGTAACTGCCGCAGGCATCCGTCTTACCTGTGAAGCACACGGCCGGTTTCCATTGGCCGCATCGAATGGAGGCAGCAACTGTTGCGGAAAAAAGGCCCTCGTGTTTACTGCGTAACCATGGAAACGGGATGAATGTGATGCCATGATTGGATTCCTTCATATTAAAACCACATGGCTCCGCAAGCGCACACAGGCGCACTGACCCTTTTTGAACTCTCGGACCTCAAACACAAACAAGTTGAAGCTATTGCTAATGTACCGATCAAAACACATTTTGTGACAGAACTCGTTTAATATCCTCTGAAAAACCTTCTGTAAAGAATGTGTAGTAAACGGTGGACGGCATTAATTGTAATGGCTGCGAGGGAATTCGTTGTTCCCCCACTGTACCACTTCTTCCTGCACTTGGTAATGAGATTCTACTGTGAGATGTGGGCAGGGGGCCCGTTCTCTTTGACCAATCACGCTGCCTGTGGTGCCAAATGAAAAGCTTCTGTAATGCAGAGAAGATGTATGCAGGGATTGGTGGGTCATGAAAATATCTCCCTCCAGGAAAATATCTCTATTACAGTAATGCTGAATTAAATAATTACCAAGAGTCTGTACTTTGGCAAAGTGACCAAAATTGGTCTAGTATAGAGTTAAGTCATCAAAACAGATGTTTACATGGGTACAATATTGAGTTTTTGGCCAAATTTTTTTTTTTTTAAACTGAATATGTACCTTTGATTTCTGCCTAAATGTGCAAGAAGATAGTCCTCGTGAGACACATCGCAAAATACAAAGCAGTATTGGATTTTAAAAATCAGAATCCTTCAACAGTATGTAAACAATAAAAATAGTAATCTCATGAGCTAGTGTTATTTTGAACAGTATCTTGATTCTATTCCGATGATTTTCTGTTTCTTCAAAAATAGCTTCTGATTATTGTTGACTTCTGGCTTGTGTCAATGACAGTGTCACATTGGACGCTATTTGTGAGTATAGGGAAAAATCTTCTTTAATTAATTAATTAATTAGAGAAGATTTTCTTCTGATTAACAAACCATTTTAAAACCCGAGACAAATGTTTTCCCCACAAACTGCTTTGCTCATAGAGACTTAAGGCTTCATATGACATTTTTACTCATTGTAGACTGTTGTATTGGAAACCTACTACATTTAACAAAAATCCCACTAAAAAGCATCTACTATTATCACAGTTTGCTATGCTGCTTAAATTGTTTATACTATTTATTCATAAAACATGTATAAATGTACAACACAAATAAAGAGAGAAAAAAATGTCTATTCTGCTGACAGAGTTCACTGCAGATGGAGTCTCTGAAAATACAAATCTAAAGCTGAAATCCTTGGGTTTCACGTAATAAACCATTGAGCATCTGGACAAACATTGGAAAAAAACTGGAGTTACTGTAAAGTGGATAGGAAGCAGCGACAGGGAGACAATATTTCCTTTTCCCCCACTCCCCCTCTAGGTTTCCCTCTTTCGTGCTTTTTTTTCTGTGTCCTTTTCCCTTCATCCCTCCTCACGAACCTTCTTGATTTCAGTCTGTTTTTTAATTTCCCTTCCATACGCGTTCGCAGACTGCGGCACGGCTCACGTCTTGCCTCCATGGTTTGAACTCTGCTGTTTTAGGAAACTGCTCTGGATATTTGATTCTCCAGTTCTGGCTCGTTTGATCTGTACTCCCTGTTTGCTGTTGCATGCAGCTTTGAATCCCAGTGGGCGAAGAACAACAAAGGAATTAGTTTCAGTGCTGAAATAAAACACACCCAGGAGATCATACAGAATAACTGTTGTAAAAAGGAAAGGAAAATACGTGGGTAACTGTGTTTACGCTGGCTGCCTTTCTGTGGTTAAAGTCTTCCCATTTGAAAGCCAGACGTTATACATTTATTTATTTTTATTATGCAAGATAACATTGGTAGCTCTCCAAAAAGATACAACATAGATGGGGATTAAATATCACACTCCTGTATATTGTTTTGCAGTAATTCCCTGTCCAAAAAGTAATACAAATCTTAGTCCCAACCTTGAAATAGTCTGCTGCACAACGTCCCGTAAAATGTCCAGTTTTTCTTTTAACTCTTTTTCTGTACAGACTAAACGGAAGACACACAGAATCGCCCCGGTGACGGTCGTGTTTTCCTCAGGTTGTCCCAGTTTCCAGTATTTAAGCTAAGCTAAGCTAACAGTCGCACGGCTTCAGCATTCCCAGTTGGCGGTATCAATTCAACGTGATCTCCAAAACCTGTTCGTAAAAATGTATACGAAATATTTGACATAGAAATTCGTAACAATACATACTAACTGGCGGGGGTTAACCACGCCCCTTGAGTGAACAACATGGCGGACCATGTTGGATTCTTGAGTGAATGTCTCTCCGCCATGTTGGATTTTTTGAGGGGGTTAGGGTTAGTATTGTATTCTTACAATTTATCATTGATTTCTTGTTAAAAATGCAATCATAACACGTTTATTTTACATCGTTAGACTTCACAAAGTGTGTTTACGGGGTGCAGGTCCCCATTCACTTTGAATAGGGTGACGTCATCAGTTGCAGTCCGTATTTATTTCGAATGTATCACTACGAATTTGTATCGCCAAGATTTTCGTATACATTTTTACGAACAGGTTTTGGAGATCAGGCTGATCAATCGGCTCCACTGACTCTGGGCAGGATGGCAAATAACAGACCATTCCTATGAACCTACAACAATAACCTACAGAATGCTATTGCTTCACACACATTGCATTCCAAGACAGACGTGTAGGAAACAAACATAAAAGGTTGTTCTTTGCTTCACTCCGACATGTGCGTGTCTGTTTGTGACCCCCGTTATGAGTTAACCGTAAAAACATCGAAGCCTGTATTCATTCAAGTGCAGTGACGTCGTCCTCTGAGCCGAGCGAGGGGAGTTTTTGGGAGACCTGCAAGTAGAACTCCTTGCAAGGCTGTGCTGTAATCTGAAGCCAACGAGAAACGAGTAAGAGAGAGAGAGAGAGAGAGAGAGAGAGAGAGAGAGAAAGATAGAGGGAGGGGGGAAACACTGAAGGGCCAAGAGAAGGTGATGTCAGCTGAGTTCAGAAAGTAAACAGAGTTCCAGACTGCGGCATGCTGTCTGTGGGACGGGGACTGCAGCTGGGGCAAACCCACGGGGGCACCCGCACAACCCCCTGGACCTCCACCTCTGTTCCATGGAAGGGGGGCCTGCTCCTCCTCATCTCTCTCTCCATCGCCTTGCCTCAAGGGACGGCCTGGCCCTATGGTAAGAGACGCCTCGCTCACCGCCGCTCCTTCTCTCCCGGTCCCGCGTGTGTTGGTGTCTGTTCTTTGTTCTCGTAAAAAGCCGGCATCAGCGACTCCATCCGCTCTTCCCTGGAAGAAGAAGAAGACCCACGGAGGGACAGTGATGCACAGACGCCGCTGAGATCATGTTTGTGCAATCTTTGGGTAAACGACTTGTGTTCTAAAACCCAGAGGGAGGCATTTCTGTGAGGGTTTGTTTATAGTCAGATTAAAAGGGACTTTGTGATCTACTTTTCTTCTCGTTGCAGTTGTTCTCTCCCAGTTGCTCTCTAGCTGGTCGCACATTCCTTAAGGGCAAAGTGAGGCGGTTGGACTCCTAAGAGGGGTGATGGATGCTGGCAAGCATTTCCTTTTGTGTCGGAGCTTGTCTTTAAATGCTAATTGGGTTTTCTTTTCTGAAATTGGTATTGGTCTTTGCCTTTTCACCCAGGGTGACCAGTTGAACTGCTGCAGGAAGATGTGAGTCACGTTTTAGTCGACCACTCCGCCTGCGGTAATGAGTATACCATACGCCGTCTCCCAGACTCCACTAAACCTCTGCCCTTTGTTGATTAATCGTCCCGCGGTTGCCAGGCAGTAAAGTAATCTTGGATTTGTAATGTCGGTGAATGGGCCGACAGGATAAGGCAGAGCTCAGCCGCGTGTAGCTGTATTTACTAAGAGAGTTCTCTCTGGGATATTCGCCCACGTTTGTTGTTGTCAGCTGACTCACTCAGCTTCATATGCATCATCAGCTGATGATAGAGGATTTTCTTCAAGTAGAGACACACTGTCCTCATAGTGTGTTTAGCTTTAGGCAAGTTGTCCAAGGCATAGTCCAAGGCTAGCACACGTAAAAAGCGTATGATACCTTGGAGAAAAGGGAATCCATGGCACAGAATATGCTTACAAGAATCCAAAACATATCCTCTCAATGAGCGTTTGAGAATAAAAGTACCGGAGTGTGTTTATAACATTTTGCCACAGTGGTTAAGAGAGTGATTTAATTTCCTGGCAATGGGAAGTTTATTTACAGCAAGTCTCCAGGACGACCAGCGGTAGCAGCGCTGGGGTTCAGGCTACGTTCAGATACACGATGGCCACACAGCTCCCCTGGGAGTTCCCCTTTCCATGATAGCAAAATCCCTCCAACCACAACAACAGCTGCTGTGGGGAATATGCAAAAGGAATCAAACACTGGCACATACATGCGCAGCAATTGCACTATTTTGCTGGGAGGAAACTACTCATTTGATTGATGTGTGCCATAACCGTGGTGATGCTCGTCACTGTAAACCTTCTCTGACACGAGTTCCCACTGAATTATGGCAAGGAACACGTATGACGTAATGTTGAGGCAAGGAACACGTAAAGCAGCATAGTCAAATGACAACAGTGACAAAAAACTGAACTAAACTTTTCAATGTCCAATGGCGGTGACACGTGCACAGCATTGTGCTGTGTTTGAAATGCATGTTGAACCCATCATCTCACTTCGCTCTGCTAAAATTGTCTCTTTTGGTCAGAGTTGAAAATAGCTTAGATGTGATAAGGGTGAGAGACAGGACTGATGGAATGCATTTCCCTCAGAGGTGAGCAGGAATATGTCAAATTGGACAACGGCTTTTTTTAAATGCCACAGAAGACACTGTTCCAAGGTGCATTTCTTAAAAAACAGTTTTTTTTATCCCTTGGCTTCAAATGTAAACTGGTGCCAAAGTCGATGCTGATGCAATGAGAATCCGTTTACCAATAATTTTCCAGGGGTTGTGGAACAGTTATGCGTGAGTTATCTCTCACCGTGACGTTTGGACAGAATACATTTCTAAACTAAGAAAAACACAAAGTGAGATTCAAAACTAAAAGAAATAACATTTATATCCCGGCAGAAGTCAGAGTTTTCTGCGGCTCTCTCAGCAAACAGGGGCAGTAAATTCAGACTTAAGGTCTCCGGGCTCGCGTGAATTTCCGTGAGCGCATCTCCAGTAACAATGACGTCAGTCTCTGGATCCATGTCGAAGTTTTTGCAGCTGACACGTGGCGGCTTACAAGCGTCGTAATGGGTTGGAGTACTTTGTGGACACCCACACAGAGGCAAAAACCAGGCAATAGGGTGTCTGTAATGCCGCCCGTTTTATTGCCATTTTCATTTTTCTGGCTTCTTGACGAGAAGTTGACGAGCTCAACATCTGGAATGGAAAAAAAAAAAGTAGATACCAGTAATAAGAAACAGAAAAGTCAAACCACACACACACACGCACACACAAATTGGCACGATGAGCTTCAGAAATGAAGTTGGAAAAAACTGGCTGTTAAACTGTGTTTGGCTTTGTGCCAGTGCCATCTTGCTTCCACAGAATACAAGCTTATGAGTGTCCTTGGGTAATATTTAGAGGCTGCTACATAAACCAGAAGACATATTTGACAGGTTGGACGGAAGCGTTGCCAAACAGCTGTTAGGCACAATAGAGAAGCAAACCTTTTAATAGGATCCGTTTCTCATTTTGTTCAGCACCCTTTCTGACAATTGCCGTTTGGGATTAAACACGTATTAGCCAGGGGCACACAGCACAATAACAGTCCTGGGTTAAATTGCAGGTCTGGGGAACAAAATGATAAATGGTTTGTCATTTGCATGTTTGTACTTTTTTTTTTCTTTCTCACACCTGTGCAAAAGTATACATTTGACCAGCTATTTCAAAAGAAATGATAGTGCTTTCCTCAAGCTTTAAGCTCAAACGCCGAAGGGCCAGCTCCCGCATGTACAAAAGCCCCCACAAACGCTCACTCGCTTGTACTCTTGTATGCGTCTACCTCCACGCCTGTTCCTTCTTTCCGCTCTGTAATAATTGTTGTACGTGCTGACCATGGAAGCCTCACACAGAGAGGCAGTAAGCTTGCAACTAAGTGAATAAATCCACATTTTCATGACGCAAGTCAAAGCTGCAGCATCCTAGAATGATATTTGTGGTTGTAAATCAGGATCAAGATGTATTAAGGAGAGGGAACAGCCTTCCAGAAAAGGAGCATGAAGTAAACATTGCGGACATCTGGAAATGAAGGCCCGCTATTTAAGGTGAAAGATTAACAGCTGATCCAAATGAAGCCATAAAGATCGGTTCTATAAAAGCACAGAATGTCATTTCTCTGTCCAAGGACAAGACACACAGCAGTGATCTGTGTAACAACATTACCGGACCACCTCATACAGCTTTTTTGACCCTTTTAAGTTCATGTCGTATAAATTGGTTCTCATAGTCTCTCCAGGTCATCGTCTGCCACAAACCTCAAGGAAGCAAAGGATGTCTCTTGATCGTGATTGAGATTAATAGTTAAATTTAAAAAAATGAAAAAAGCATCTAGTGGCTTTGGGGTAGATGTAGGCGGCTCGAGTCGCTACTTGCAAACGGACACAGAATCTCAGACTCCCTTGAAAATAGATTGTAGCAAAATTGAGGGAAATAATGAGTAAGATTCTGGTGAAGATATGTTTCTACTTAGTTTTCCTTTGTCATAGTTGTACTTGACTCACAATACGGGGCTTTTCTTGTATCCCTAAAACCCGCAGCGCGCCCAGATTATGGATGTTTGTGGTTCTCACACTTGGTCAAAAGAAATCCACAAAAATGTCAACAGTAACTCTGAGCTTTCAATTTACTGATGTAGGGGGGAAAAAAACAAGCTTAAAAACACAAGAAAATGCTAGAACGTCCAGTTTGATTGAAATGAAAACAAACACCGAACGCTGGCGGTCTATTCAACAACATTGGGCATTGCATGAGGGACTGACACGTTCGGGCGCCATTGTCCAAAAACATTTGAGTAACATTGAATTTTAGTCCTGAGATCTATCGCTGGCTAAAAAGAAACCCCGTTTTGTCTCTGGCTTGGTGATCATTTGCGCTGTAATGTAAGAGGAATCATGGAATGGCTTTATAAAGGACAAATTAAAAGAAATTTTCATTAAACATGAACTGCGGGCCTTGCGCAACCTTCTCTCTGTCTGATTAATGCCTCACTGAGAGAAAGAGCCATGTTGTAGTTGGACTGAGACAACATCCATGGTTTCATTAATATGGAACTCCCAGTATTGCAAGAGAACATCTATTCTTCTCCTCGCTAGCTGACCGCCTGCAAACCACCAACGAGAGGTTTATAGTTTCTGTTTTTTTGGCTTTTGGGTGTCTGTGTTAAAGCTTCTTTGTTTCACACAAGTCACGTAAACAACAAATGTACGGCTCGTGTGCACGCTATGGCGTTACAAATAAAAACTTTGTACAAGATTGCTTTTGGGTCCAAGTGTAAATGCTTGGAGGGTTCAGAACAGAGAAGTTATGATTGCAGGGCTCAGAGGAAAACAAAACGCTCCATCAACATTTTGCCAAGTTTAAAGTGCAGCTTCTGTTCACATCTGCCAAAAGGGAATTCATGCAACGTTACACAACCGCTCGGACTCAAAGGTCCTTCTTTCACTGGTTTCCAGTCCAATTAAGCATTCCATTTGATTATTTATCTGCTTAAATTTTTTTCTGGGACAGTGATTATACCAATGTGGCAGTTTATCTTGTGCAACGGAATGAGAACACACGGAGGATGTGAACCACTGAGAGCCTTGCCGTCTCTTATGAGCTTCCTATCTTTGCCAGCAGCACATGTATGTAAGCTATATGTTGCGTACGTTAGCGTTTGTCCCCTGCTTGCTTGCATGCTTGAGTTGCTGTTGATCCCTGACGTGTTGTCTCTTCTAGATTACAGGTATTTGTACAACCACTGCCCGGGCCCGGAGTGGAACGTTATGTGTAGAGGCTGCTGCGAGTATGATGTGATTCGCTGTAAATGCCCCCTACAGGGGACGCCGGTGGGCTACGCAGTGCCCTGCTGTCGCAACGCCATCAATGAGTGCGACCCCTGCATCATACATCCAGGTAGGGTGCATATTTGACTTTAATTTCATGACATGTTGCCAGCTCGTTTACCTTGAACATAATCAAAAGTGGGTCTTCTCCTCATAAAGTCTATAGCTGCGGATTTCATCTTTAAGGAATATACTCAATATTAAGGAATATGTATGCGCAACGTGATCTCCAAAACCTGCAAAACTGCACAGCTCTTTGCACCATAGCAACACAAACAGTATAACAGAAAGCCCGAAAATACTTAATTTGTGTGGATCATCATACTTTGAATGGCGATTTGGGAATTAAATGTGTGTAGTAATGTGTGTGTTTGGACTCATTGTATGTAAGTACGTTATACAGGTGTGATGTATATAATGTGAGAAGTTGAAGATGTTTGCACACATGCTGTAACTCCTACATCAAAACGTAGTATTATTTATACGTATACATATTTTTTCCCCACATGCCATCTGCCTGTAGAAGTATATCCTGTTTTCTTCACAGCTTAAATATACTCATGTTTTTCTTTCAGGTGAAAAAAACAGCTGTTCGCAATATAACGGATACCTGTAAATCACATTTCCCTCTTAAACTCCAAAAATGTTTACTCAAGTCCGACTTCACTCATGTCTCTTGAGACGAGAACCATCTGTTTAAAGCATTTTCTCAATGTTTCTATTTAAAGAAGCACTAATGTATGTGTGCACGTATGTTTGTGGTTTTGTAGTGAACGATGAGCGTAATGACAGCGGCCAGATGAGCGTTGGTGGTCAAGGCTAAATAGTTTGCATTCTGCCATAGTGATTCTTTAATTACTTTAACGTGATTTTGTTTTCGGCTACTCTTTCTTCCAGGTTGCAGTATATTTGAGAACTGTAAGCGATGTAACAATGGGACTTGGAGTCCCAGGGACGATTTCTTCATTAAGGGAAAGTTCTGCGCTGAGTGTCGGCCTGGCTGGTCCGGTGGCGATTGCATGAGTGAGTCTCTTCTTTTTCCCTAATTAGCGGGTCTGTCAATATGTTTTCTATATGTGAAACGAATAATGTGTATTTATTTTCATCCCTGATGATTTATGCTCATCTCGCACAACTGCCAGCATGAAAGGGCGCAATATGTAGGTGTATATTTATATATTTAACAACCTATTGAATGACAAGTTGGAGTCAAAGACTGGGAATTCCAAAAAACAATTTCCCATTTGTAACATCCTCAACAGTGTTTACAACTTTCTCAATACACAAATATTCTGCCAGGGGGAACAACAAATGTACATTTAATTAAAAGCAGAACCTGGATAGGCTGCTGAATGCCTTGTTGCAGCCGTGCGTGTTGTTTTTATGATGCTTTAGGCGGTTAAAGTTACTCTATAAACTCAAATTAAATTGCTTTCGGTCTGAATGGTGAGTAAAAGCGACGAATGCAGCCAGTCAAAATAATAATTATGCCGCAAACACAGTTGGTGTAAATGAAAGAATACCAACTATCCAAAATGGAGTCGTTTCCCATGTGCTTTTTAGAGTGCGGGGGAGTGATCCGTAAACGGCAGGGCCACTTGGTGCTGGAGAGCTACCCCAACAATGGCCGGTGTGAGTGGACCATCCAGGTGGACCGTCCCTTCACTATAGAGCTCAGGTGAGACCTGCTCCATCCCCCTGCACAGTTATGGTTCACGATCAGAACTCACCACCACCGCCACATCGGGGAGGTTGGTGATGATGTTCACTGATATGATTACAAAGCATCATGGGTAAAACCACAGATTTGGTTGTTTGTGTTCTCCGTCAGCTCTGTTGTGACAACTTGGTTGATTCAGGAGCCAAATGTTGCATTTGGCCTGATTAGTGTTGGGATTGGATGTTACCACTGCAGAGTTAGATTAGAAAAGAGAGAATAGAGTGGACATGTTCACAATGACAATGCCAACATGACGTTTTAAAAGTAGGATGTTTAACATGTTCATGAACACAGTGTTAGGATGTTAATATTAACACTTAACAGCTGAGGCTGATGAGTATCCACAATAAACCAAAACACACTGGACTTTGCCAAATTCAAACTGGGTACCACAGCATATACAAAATGTCATAGCAATCTGAAAGTATGTACCAAAGTAGTTGTTACTAATATTATCATTAAAACTGAAGAATATTGCAAACTTTTTGACATTTGGCATTAAAGCATTGCTTTTAGGGATCTTCAGCGGCCATCTGTAATAGTTATTAATGGCGGACCTGCTGTTGTTGAATATCCGTTTCTGAAAGATGTATGTGGTGGACGGAGAGCAAAGTCCGCAGCAGCATCTAAAGCTTTGTAGCACATGTCTTACCAACTTTAATATATAGATTACTGACATTGATATGCCATTTATTTTGTCCTTTGTGACATGAGCAGAACCCCTCGTTGCAACAGCTGCTGTGCTCAGAGATAGACTCATGGAAACCTCTGTGTTTGTGCGCGAGTGATTAGGGAATTAGGGTTTGTATTCTTTAACTACTCTAAGGAAACATATCCGAATTACAACTGGTATTGTTGTTGGGAGCTGCTGGAGGCTAACGTTCAGTATTACTTCATATTTGATTATTCAAAACTTCGTGACTCTCTGATAAAGGGTAATATTAGGAGAGTATTTTGGAAGGTGCCACTGCATTTTATAAAGTTCATCAGTCATTTATGTCTGTTCTAATATTAGGCAAGTTTAAACAGTGCATGAATTTAGAGTGTATGTACATATCTTCTGACAGCTATTGTACTCACGTTAATTCATATTTATTAGGGCTCTAAACGTGGACCTTCTGGATGTCATGGTCTAGATCTGTTTCCTTTCATATCTATCGCTGGAACAACTTGACTCCCTCTTATATTTATTACATATAAAATCAAATAAAAAAACCCAAAACAACTACAATGGTGTGGAAACTTTAACTGCTGTGGTATCTGGTTAAAATGTGCCCTATTTCAAGCGTCATTAATAACAGTAATCTACGCAGTAGTGGAGCAAATCCCCTTTAATGCTTCCTCATTAGCGGTTTGCTGGCTGAAGATTTGAAAGCTTCGTTCCGTGAAGCCACGGAAAACAGGTGCTATTATTACCTGGGGTTACACATGAATAGTAGGAGCACAACAGAAACTTTCACGTCAAAAGATTCAATCAGATTGCTTTTTTATAAAAAATATTTCATAAAAAGTATTTAGAATACGTGGTTTATTTGTGTGATGCCTTGCGTGTTCTTATGTGCTCCTCCTTCATCCGAACAGGTTCATGATGATGAGTCTGGAGTTTCACCCATCTTGTCGTTACGACTTCGTGGAGGTCCGAGATGGCAACAGCATTGACTCGCGTGTTATTGCGCGCTTTTGTGGGAACAGCAGACCGGCGCCGGTTCACAGCTCTGGTCCCAGTCTTCACATACTCTTTGTGTCTGATGGTTATAAAAATTTTGACGGATTCTTTGCTACTTTCCAGGAGAGTTCAGGTAAGTTGAATACCACCGTCATTTAACAACAATAACAAAAATACTGTCAGCCTTTGCTTCATAAACAATCAGTAAAAAGTCAGGCCAAATATGCAAAGGGGCTCTTTTGACAAACGGGTCCCAAACAAATGCAAACAAGAAGTTTCCAAGTGCGTGACTTAAACCTACAAGTTCTGGTCGAAAGCCTTCGTCGAGGTCTTCGTCGCATGCTAACGACCCTCTGAGAAAGCATGCGCTCACCGAAATGTCATTACTTTCCACAAATGTCGTCAGTCTGAAGGTCTTTGACACGCATGGACTCATAAGTTACCATCAGCTAAGCCAGATCTAGTAAAAGCAAGCAGAGGCATTCCGTGTAGAAACGGAAAGTGAAAAGGATATTTAAACAGTGCCAGGCTTGCATTATTAATCCCTCCATGTAGCTCGATGTGGTCAACCGTTTTCTTTTGCCGCATATTTTTTTTTATCATTGTACTGCAAATGAAATCAACGTTTCTCCTTGTACCCTAATGTGGCACACTTGCATATTTACAGCTTGCAGCTCTTCTCCTTGCCTACACGATGGGACTTGTGTCCTGGAAAGCTCTTACACTTACCGCTGTGCCTGTCTGGCTGGCTACACAGGCAAGAGGTGTGAAAACGGTGAGTTTTGCAACACAACTGAAGCCTGTACAGTAATAATGAAGAAATATTTGATGTTTTGTGTAAAACTTTGGATGCCTGCAAGCTCTAATCACAGGGAGGAATAGTTGCCATCACTCCAGAGGAATGTGAGGAATTGGCACTTTCAAGACCTTGAAGTCCCATTTTGTAATTTCATCTGAAATCAGACACACTATAAAAACTTTTATTTTTTTTAGCTGTTGCTGCTGCTCAGAGGCCGGCGGTGATTCACTGTCACAAGAGAAAGGTCTGTGGTTTGGACCGGGTTCAGGCCAGCTGCTTTCCTTCGTCGGGGCCGGTCCCAGCTGGAGCTTTGGTCCGTCAGCAGCTGGGACTGTGTTTGCATTTCAGCTAACTAATGCGTGAAGTCATACCTCCATGGACAGAGAGATACAAACAAAGAAACTGAGCAAAATTGAAGGGTAAAATAAAAGAAGAGGAAAAAAGCATGTTGCTATTTTCTTTACGGTCATCGATCATTTTGTTTTTCTGCACCATATAACACCTTATTACATTTGCAACACACCAGCAGAGTTGCTCGGCTGTGTCGTGTGGGGTTCTGCGTAATCAGGGTGTGGTTGGCTTACAAGGTCTTTGATTTATGGGTGTGTGGAGCCGAACTCGTGTTTTTATAAACAGTACACCTCTCATAGGAGCCCACAAAAACAGACCTCTCCTCGTGGTGTCATTTTCAGGGCTTAATACGGGTCTATAAAACAAATGGCGAAACAATCCTGCTCCTATAACAACAAGCCAGCTTTTTCCATCGGACGAGACATCCATAAAAGAAAGCACGAGTTTCATTCCCATGAGGAATCCTCAGCTGTTCGTTTTAATGGATGAGAGTGATTTCGATGTCTGACAGTTTTTACGGGACATTCGGGGTATTCTACATTTCTGCTCACATGGGGGAATTTCCATGTCCGGGACATCATCAGTATGTTATGCTTCCAATGATTGAACTGTCAGCCTCAGATAAAACTCATTGTGTATGAGAGAGTCCTGACACATCATTGCAGAAACTCAACATAAGAAATCCTTTCTTCTCTTTAATCTATGTATCTGTAATCTAATCTGCTTTGGAGTGCAGCGTCGAACATCATTTCCATGGCATTAACAAAAGGGAATGATGATTTACTTACAGTGTGAGTCTTCAGTCTCAATGACTCAGCACAATGACCCTTATTATGTCTGTGGAAAAAAGCTGACAAGGAAGATGGACCATTAATGTACAATACAAAGATGCCCGTAGCTCCCCAGAATGCTTCAGGGCTTTGAAAATACAACATACAAATACAAACAACATTTGAACATTTGGTTTGCAAAGTCGTAAATAATTGAAAACCGCCATGCTGGACGAGTGCCAGGGCCTCCGTCCTGAGCCATAAAACCAGGAGCAGAGCATCTCGTGGATCGGGCCCACCATAAAATAAACAACACAGAAAATCTCTTGAGTGTTCATTTCGGAACAGAGAGCTGAATAACCTCAGTGTTGATATGCCTGTTGGGCTTTGTGTGAACTCGGTAGCGGGTTGATTAGTGATGTCTACTAGAAAATGTGTGTGCATCAGACAGTTACACCCAGTATTCCGTCACCAAATTAACAATCTCCACCACTCTACTGCGTAAATCTACTTTTACAACCCTGGAAACAATTTTACAAAAGCCATTTTATTGCATCTTTTCTTTCCTCGTTTACAAGCCCTGTGTATAGGTCTTGCTGCAAACTTTACCACGGTGGGTGAAATGACTCATTAATGAGCATCTAAAGTAGCGGGGTCTGTTTTTAAAGCTCTGGGCATTTGTTAGTTACGAGTCTGAGAGCTGAGGTTTGGGTTTGTGAGCTACCTGTCTGGCCTGTAACCCCTGAAGGGAACTAACTCAATGTAGGTGTAATTTCTTTAAAGTCTTTTATAGGACGTATTGAGGAATGATTACAATGCTGGGTAAATACCCTATTTTGTTAATTTGCAAGATCTGTCTTTCAGTTACAAAATGAAAACAACATTTGTAAACAAACCAAATGCGCTGTGTTCGCCCCCAGTGGTGGGATGCCGCAGGCCTCCGGTGCCCACCCGCGGATCAACAGAGGGTCTGTTTCTCCACTCGGGGGCCCGCGTCACTTTCCGTTGTGACCCCGGCCTCGAGCTGCGCGGCTTCCACTCGGCCATCTGCCTGAGTGACGGCACCTGGAGTGCGCCGGCTCCAGAGTGCGGTGAGATAATTATGTGAATGGGTATTTTGCAGAGGGAAATTTAAGAGTTGAGATCTGGGAAAGTCATACGGGTGTCATTTGGCCTTCTCTGGATGCCGCACATCTGCCCCAGAGGTGGTGCAGATTGCCAAAAAAACATGATTTGCAGCCAGTTAAAAGCCTGAGTTTCCTTTCCCCGTCTCCAGTGCCAGTGGAAATAGACTGTACTCTACCACCCAAGCCAACACATGGGGACCACTTCTTGGTTTATGGACCCAATGATGTCCTGATTGCTCTGCAGTACCTGTGCTACCAGCCCTATGAACTGACTGGGAGCTCCCAGAGAGCATGCCTCCCCAACAACACCTGGAGCGGCACTCCTCCGCTTTGCACCCAAGGTCAGACAATATCTCTTTTATAACAGGGATTAGAATGGCTGAGTCAGTATTGTAAAGTGCTTGTGTCATTATCTTTTTTTTAAGGTAGTAAGAAAATGAGTCGGTACCGAGATTTGAAATTAACAGCTGGCTGACAATAAAGTAATAGTTTTTCTTTTGTCGTGTTTTGTGTCCACAGTAAATGATACGCTCACTGAAGAGGACAAGGACAGAGACAGGGAAAAAAACACAGGAAGGCGCAACGGAACAGATGGTGAAAAACATTTCAGCAAAACGAAAGAGAAAGGTCACAAAAACATAACGGGAGAAAACGACAGTGTTGGAGGGGGAGAAATAAGCACTGAGCACGACAATAAAACTGCAGTCGACAGCAGGGATAAAGTGGACATTGAAGGGACAAACAACAGCCTGAATACTGTCAAAATGAAAGAACCTAGCACTGGAAAGCCACCTGAGAAAAACAAGGGAAGCCCAGACACAAATTTCGAGACAGAAAAGACAGACATCACAGAAATAGTTGTGATAAAAGACAAAGGACAGGAAGAGAAGGAAAGGAAAGAGGAGCAGGTGAATGGAAAAAGAGGTTCAAACAAGGTCGGTCCGAACGACACCAAGGTGGGAACGAACATCATAGCTGAAGGGGACGACGCAGCCAAGGGGGTTGAATTGGAAATGACAAAGAACCACACTGTCATACGTGACACGAAGGACACACAGAACGAAAATAATACCAAAGGTTCAGCAGAGCCGGGGAAGAAAATCCTTCCCACTGGAGTTAACATCACACAGTACAGAGCGGGAAGCGAGGAAAATGGCAAAGCAAAGGACAAAAAGGATCCTGCTGAGAAAAGCAGGCACGAGGTGGAGGGGGACAGCGGGGACAAAGAAAAGGAAAACGAAGTCAATGAAAGCTTCACCGGTGAGAAAAAAATAAATTTAAATGAACATCATCTGCTCCTTGTTGGTCTTCACCCTCACCGACTGTCTGCCCCCCCCCGCAGGGAAAAGCTGCCCACTTCTCTCCCGCCTCTACCATGGCTTCCATCAACCGGTGCCTGGACTGGAGCCCGAAACCGTGGAGTTCTTCTGTAACCACTCGTATGCTATCAGTGGTGAGGCCCGACGTACCTGCCAGCCGAACGGTACCTGGAGTGGAGAACAACCCCTCTGTGTAAGAGGTACTGCTGATCTGATTCACCCATGTTTCTGCAGACACGTCGGCTAATTAGCCAACAATCCCGAGGAAATGATAATGAGTGCAAACATTCACTACAGCAGACAGTGCTGTTGTGCAAGCTTTTGTTAGTAAGTAATCAATGAGGCGTCATGGGTTTCTCACGTTATGAAAGGACATCAGACGTGTAGATGCAGCGCAAAGGCCAACAGTAAAGGGTTATACAAAGTTCACCTGATAATTGGTAAAATATGTTTGCACTACAATAATCCATCAAATCTGCAGTGTTAACAGTATATTAATTAGTTTTCAATAAAATTTGTTCTTGATGGTCTTGCCAAAAGATAAAAAGGTCAACGTATCTGTGACTAGTTTTCTCATGAATTAAAGAGTGAAGAAAAAAAGACAAAGCAAATTATTCTGTTTGAGGAAGTTCTGTTTCTTCTTTTCAAGAAGGTTCTACAGTTTTTTAACTCTTTTCTTTTTTTAGGTAAATGGAACCGCAGTCTGTTAACTACAGCAGATAACTTTACACAGCTTAACATGAACGGCAAAACAGCTGGTCTGGCTCAAAGCACACATTTCTGTTCCTCCCTTTCGTTTTCGCACGGATTGGACAAAATATGTGCAACGTGATAAGAGGTGCACATTAGGAATGCTAGCCGGCATTTCTAGCTATTTCTAGCTTTGACCATGCTACGCTAAGCTAAGCTAATTGGCTCATTTGACTGCTGCCAAGATGTCAGACACTGTAATTCCAAAATACTAAACTGAATTTATTATGATTCAAATCACCGCAGATGTTAATGGGACCTTGGTATGTGTATTTTGTGGTGTTATCTCTGTGTGTTAAACTGTGTTTATTTTGCAGCATGCCGGGAGCCCAAAGTGTCAGAACTGGTAAGACAAAGAGTTCTGCCACCTCAGGTCCCATCCAGGTATGTTAACCCATGCATGTTATAAGTCATATGATCATGAGATCTCATGTTACTCAGTGACAGAAGAACCAAAATCAACAGTTCTTCACGCAGCCTAAAGGGTATCTTTACGCACCCCTTGACTCTTCTCCTCCTCCCCTCAGGAAGACACCGGTGCACCGGCTCTACTCTTCTGGGATTGGCCGACCGCTCAAGTCAGACAGCCCCACGAGAGGCCCTCCAGTGCTTTCCCGGCTGCCCCAGGGCTTCCACCACCTTTACTCGCACATAGAGTACGAGTGCGCCTCTCCTTTCTACCACCACGCGGGCAGTTCCCGCCGCACTTGCTTGAAGACGGGGAAATGGAGCGGGCGTCATGTGTCCTGTTCGCCAGGTGGGGCCAGCAAAGGGCTACTAGTTGCCGACTGGCAGCAGAACGCACAGAACAAACACATTTTAGAACAGTCGACGACCATGTGCGAACACATTATGATGATGTAGTTACTTAATTATCTTAAAATAATAAATACTGGCATTCAACATTACATTATCAGCATCTTCTGTGACTTCCCTAAGCTGCTAAAATAAAAATGACTGGAAAATCCACTCCACTCTGCTGTTGTTAATCATCAGCAAGAACAACTTCATTTGTTAAAGCATAGATTATGCAGAGAATGGGACATTAGCACTGCAGAGTAGTTACTAACTAACCATAACTTTCCATCAATATGAAACAGTTGCTAAGGAGACAGAGGGGTCAACTCAGAACCTTTTTGTCTTAGACTTAATCACTTTAAAATTGCTCCTAATATTCTTCAGATTAGAGGGGAAACACATCGGCCCCGCCCCTTTAATCTCTATGTGAACACACAGTACGGGCCGCTGTCCATGGGCATCGTGCCTTAATACCAAAAGTTGTGGGGTCTGTGAGCTGTGTTTACCTTTAATAAAAATCGGTCCGCGCACATCAACCACACGTTGGCGAAGCCTGGAGGCGGATTTCTTTGTTTTTGTAGTCGTCATATTATAGAACAAAGTGTAAAAATTTAATAAGATGTTAAAATCTATTGTAGTGCATTCATTTTATGTACACATGTAAGATGGCAAGTCATGGTAACTCTTAAGTAGCGATTGTATTGGAAAAAAATAAAAGCCAGGTTTAAAGGTTTAAAGCAGTTTAGATTCTCCTTCTATGCCACTACTTTGCATTTTCGCCCACAATCCTAAAGAAGGTATAAGCGCAAAAAAAATAAAAGCCGTCAGAAGGGAAAGACAAATCAAACAGTGTCTCAGTGTGGATCAGACTTCTTCCTGTACTTCTCTTCGGGCCCCCTTCTCTTCATTGTGGTCTTTTATTCTCTGCTCTCCCTTCCTGTCACCTCCTCTTTGGCAGTGTGTGGGAAGCATCCGACCTTCGACCCAGAGAGGCCGGCAGAGGCTCACTGGCCTTGGCTGGCCGCCATCTACCGCCGCTTCACCAACGGAGCCGGGACCAAGGTGACCAAGGCAGACGGCCAGGCAGGGTCCCCGAAGGTGGACTTTGAAGCAGGAACTGGCAGCTACGATGGGGCTGCTGAATGGCAGCTAGTGTGCAGCGGGGCTCTGGTGAACCAAAAGAGGGTGCTGGTCGCAGCCCATTGTGTCACAGAGCTGGGAAAGGTGTATCCTCTGGATGCAGCCGAGCTTAAGGTGGTGGTAGGGAAGCACTACCGGGATGACCGCCTGAAAGACAAAGGTCCTCAACACTTGAGGGTAAGCAATGCCGGATATTTTCTTTTCACGACGCTCCCGAACCCAATTCGCACAATGTCTCCATCCCCTTTCTCCTTCAGGTGGCCTCCGCCGTTGTTCACCCAAACTACGATCCCCACGTCCTCGACTCTGACATAGCTGTGGTCAAGCTGCTAGACAAAGCAAAGGTCGGCGAGAAGGTCCTGCCCCTCTGCCTCTCAGACAGCCAGGGAGAGGAAGTGACCTCTGAGCAAGGGCTTGTGACAGGCTGGTCCCCACTGCCTGATCCCAGTCTCGGCGCCGACGAGAAGGCGAGGGTCGGGCTCGTTCACCTTGCCGACGTGGTTCCCTGCGAGCGGCAGTACGCCCGTAACGGCATGCCAGTCAGCGTCACAGACAACATGCTCTGTGCCAGCCACAAGCCGGACTACGGACCCTCTAACATATGTCCCTCTGACACGGGGGGGATCCTCGTCCTCCCCGCCCTCCCTGAGAACCGAGCCAGCAACAAGCAGAAGCCCTCTGTCGGCTCTAGGCAGGGGCAGGGGCAGAGCGGAGGGCTGTGGAGGCTCATGGGAATGGTGAGCTTTGGCTATGACCAAGGGGAGTGTGATCCCGACCTCTACACAGTATACACGCGTGTGGCCAACTTCAAAGACTGGATAGAGAGCAACATGAAATAAAGATGGCTCTATCTGCTTCTTACATATTTAAAAGACTTCATATCCTACAGCGCTCGCTTTTTTTCTTCCTCGTTTGCCTGTTTTTCTCAGTTTTTTCGTCCTCCCCAACCTTCTTGCACTAAAGCGTTTCCCCATTCGACGCAGAAGCGCTGCAACACTGGAGAATACAGTGCTCTAACTGAAGGGGGTGCTGACGCATCAGATGTGCTGAGCATGAATATCTCACCACAAAACTTCAGTGTTCGGGTCCCTCGGCCTTTTTCCGACTTGAACGTGACCGCCTGAATTTGTGCACTCATGTACTCGATGGTATGTATATATGTTCTAATGTACTGAGTTATCAATTCATATGACTGAAGAGATGTACATATTGTATCTAAAGACAGAAAAATCATGAGGTTTTTGGATTAAATATAATGTAGGTAAAGCTGCTCGGTGTGATCAGTTTTTTATGGTGTTAAACTCAGTATGTGTGCATGTACAAATATATTCTACCCATTACAATTAGTCCATTAATATGATGTGAAAAATAAACCGTACATTTGCTCCATGTAGAGGCAAACTAACCCAGGTCACAGAAGGACTTTTTCGTAACCAAAAAAGGAGCATGTTATTCATAGATCAATTCCCCTTTGCTCAAATTAAATGAATTACTTTCATTCTGACCCTTCTCTATTAATCAGATGTGATTCTGCATTGATAGCCAAACTGCAGCTGAAATCAACTTCCAAAAGGTGGCAATGAAAAATATATATTCTTTATCTCCGAAAGCATCAATGTACAACCCAGCACTGTAACAAATTTACGGTGCATTTCTAACGGTATCTTACAGTTTGTCATAATAACTGTAACATACAGTTACATTTCCATCCCTTGCTTGTAAATTAACGGCCAATGTCATGAATAAACAGTTAAAGCTGTCAATTTACAATAATAGCAGACTACCGTAATTCAACTGCATGTTACATATATTTTATGAAGTGGTGGAAATACACATACAAGTGCAGTGAATCACAATCCATCTACATCTGTTGTAGGTTAATGTATGGAAGCCCATGTCAGCCACTGAAAAACAGGTCTTGTAAGTCATCATAATGAGATAGTATCTTACGAGATACGATGATGACTTTGACTTACAGGACATTACTATATATGCAGCTGTCACTTTTATCCAAACGCCCATGGTTTGACATAATTATATGTGGAGTAATTGGGGGTTAGGTGTCTTGCTCAGGGACACTTCGACTTGGCACAGGGAGCAGCCAGGATTCAAACCGCCGACCTTGTGCTGCACAGCACAAACCTCCCTATCCCATGCACCGCCTTCACTGTCGCTTCAGTGGTTGGAATGTAAAGATTATAAATATTTGTATTATTCAAAGTGTTCATTGCCTAAAAGTAATTTGAGTGTTAATCGTGACCGACTGCTCCTGAACGTGACGTCAGACGCGTAATCTCAGTTCATCCAGAACACCTGTGCAGTTCAACACCAGAGGAGTTTCTCATTGCCTCGTCTCTCCAAGTAACGTTGGTAAGTGTTATTTGCCTAGCATGATTAATGTTCTCCTTCCTTACATCTTGTTGTCTTCCCCAACTTTGTAATTTTAATATTTTACCAATGACAGTGTTTCTAAATATTTAATTTTGGTTTGTTTTACAGAGGCACTGGATTAAAGACGCCAACCGTTTGCTGCGGTCAATTGAAAGTGTTCCATAGCTTATTGTTGCAGTTAGTTTACCTTGTGTAATGATTTTATGATTCATTTTTTTATTATTGTATACATGCGGCATATTTAATGTTTTGTTCTTGGTTAGAAATGCCTAACATTTTTGTCTTAAAGGCATCTAATAAACTCCAACCACTATGACCGAAATGAGTTTGGTTGTCTTTCGTAAATTTGTGGGGAATTAAATGCAAAAGTATACGGTTATAAGTAAACGGTAACATTCTGGTATTTATAACACAAAAACAGTAATCGTATGGTAACAAACTGTAATCCAATATACGACAACATACCGTAAATTACAGTAGGGCACTGTAAATAAAACAGTAAGTTACTAGCGTCGACTGCCAGTAAATTGCAGTTAATTCACAGTAAAATTCGTTCAAGTTTACGGTAACATACAGTAATTCATTTTACGGTAACATAGTGTACAAAACATAGTAGTAGTTAGTAACTAACTGGAACTGTAAAATAAAATTGGGGCCAGTATTAAATATCTCAGATTTGGGAGCACCGTGGTTTAACAACGGTTCGTAACATTTCTGTGGCGTATCGGCTCACATCCACTCACGGTATGAGACATGTTCGGCAAGATGTGATGACAGATTGAACGTTTTTACCTGATCCACAACCGTAACGCCGCTGCCTGCTCTGCTGTTAACAAAGCCAGAACCACATCAAATGAGCACAATCATTTGAAGCATGTGACTGAAGTTTGAGGTTCTACATTGGAGCAGTGAAGATCGTGTCACAAGCGTTCAAAGCGTTGTGGTCTTTTTTCATGACATTCTTAAAATCACCATCAAACTGTCGGTCTCAATGAAGCCAGCGTGTTTGTGTTAAAATCTTTTTAAGTCACCACACCCACTGCACATACCAATGTCGGGCCTCCAGAATGACGTTTATGTAAAAAGCTTCAACGCCACCTAAAGCTCTCAGTTAGTGACTCAAAAGAGCAAACCTCCTTCCTCCTGCAAGTCCATCTATAACGATCTTAAAACTGGAGGAACACGAGCCCAGATGGTCCATAACGTGGTAGTCAGACTCTTCAAAAGACGTGCCAAAAAAAGGATTGCACAACACCTGCCATGGAAATATTTCCCGCTGATTAATGTTCGGATCAGTTAAATGTGGCTCTTCACTGCAGAACTTGGACTGTGCTCAGAATGTATAATAGATTTCGTCAGAGCAATTTTTACTCCGTCTAATTTTCTTACCGGAGTTTATCTGTGTCGTCACAGCCATAAATCTTTCTGGTTTGTTCATTTCATCCATACTATGTCCAATTTACTTGACCTTTTAAAGTGTCAAACCTTTTAATTCCTTCCAAAAGAACTGCTTTTCCTGTGTGCCTTCATATACATAAAAAAAATACGCAATGGTCTCGATGTAAGACCATAATAGACGTACAGAACTGCTTGGGGGCCTTTGTTGCACTCGGCAGGAACAGCATCCATCAAAGACTTTCTGTCTTTGCTTCACCCGTTTTGCTGCAGTTGAACAACAGCTTAGTAGAGTCCCACGAGGAGAGTCCTTTCCACTTGGGCTGGGAGACTCTCTGTTCACAGGCCCTGCTTAGCTCACAGGGCATCATCCATAGAAACAAGGGCCACACTTCACCAACTCAACTGACTGTCCTGGGAACGGAGATGTCACCCTGAGCAAAGTACCTAGATAATGATGAGAGAATGCCACCATGAGAACTCGAGGCGGACGGGGCAAAATATTCACACCAGACTTACACGAAAATGTTTAGGTTTTCACACCAGTTTTTCTAGTTAGGCGAATGAGCCCTCTGTGCTTTGTTCTGTGTGTGAGAAACGTTCTGGCGCTGAGGATCCACACACAGCTCAGTTATCTGTATTCTGCTGGTGGTGGTGGTGCGAGGGTTGTGTGCTGAAACATTTAAGGCTTTTCTATATTTCTTTTAAATAATTTTGTCACACCTCAAGATTAAAGTATATAAAAATTGATCTCAAATGTTGAAGACAGAATTGGACCCTATAGTATTTTTCCAATGTTTGAGGAGTAAAAACTATGCACCGATATGTAATGATACTCGTTTGTTACACTACGTCCATTATATTACACTTATTACACCACTATATGTAGGATTGATTGAGAATAAACTACAGTGTGCAAAAGCGTTGTAATGTAATGAGGCAACTTGTCAGCCTCGGACACATTGTGGCTCAGTCTTCTAATGGAGTTTTAATGGAGGCCTATGGCACAGATGAATGTAATACCTCATATTAGTCTTTGGTATGGCTATAACTTGTTGGAGGGATTAATTAATCTGTTTTCATTTGTTAAGAAAATAAAGATAAATATGAACACTAACCTAAGAAGTAATGTGTTTACTGCCCTTTATCTCGTTTTTATTCCTACCCGTTTTTTACCCACGATGCCTGCGGCAGCTCATTCTCGTTCCAAAGAAACATTCCTGTTTCAGTCCCTTCAGCCCTCGAATACAACATACATGATCCTAAACAGAGCATGGTGTTCCGCAGCCATTACCTGCCAGACATGGCTTGACTATATAAAATGGAAGATAGCAATTCGTACACTTCACAGGCCTGAAAACGCACACGTGTTTCTACGCACAAAGCAATTTTGCAGTATTGATGTGTTTTCATCCATATGCAGGCCTGTGAGTAAATTGCATAGCAAGAGGTGGCGATGTGATTTATTATACGTAGCTGTGACTGTTTGACTCCTCCAGCGGCTGCAGAAAGCCTGCTGGAATCCAGGCTGCCACCGCGGGACTGAGCAACGGTAGTGAGACAAGGAAAGCGAACAGGAAAAGGTAAATGCGAATGTATCTAGATAGAGAGAGAATGAATGAAAGAGTATACAAAGCTGAGCTCACAGTTCAATACTTGCATCAACCTCCTTCCCCCAAGGAAACGCCCCAGGGTGATTTGTAAAGACCCGCTTTGGTACCCTTAAACATCCTCGTAAAACCTCTAGGTTTCAGATTGCTCCTGAGAGGCCATCAACTCCGGCCCGAGCACTGGAAGGTTAATGTTCCCTTCATAGACGCGCACGTGCAAATTATAGCTGTTTATTATGGTTACTAAACATTTCATTCAAATAAAAAAAAAAAAAGGTTTTACTATTACTTCTTTATATACTTTTATCCACAGCCGCTGATATTTCTAATAGTAATCATTATTGTTATTCCTCCTATTACTGCCTCTACTGCTATGGCTGCTTGCATTATGTGAATAATTTCTCAAATATGGATTATGTATGTGTTATTTTATAATGTTTTAATCATTCTGTACAAATTACATCTCTTGTTCTGTAATCAGTGATATACGATGCTACGCAATTCTTTGTGGTAAAACGGCTTCCAAATGAGCATGGTCAAAATCTGTACGTGGTAAAGTACTAAAAGAAGTGCGTAAGAGGAAGTATCCAACAGTATTCCTTGTTGCTTTGCATACAGAAGAAGATCCTGGCATTGTTATATTCACAATCTGACTATCTTGATTGTTAATTCAACTTGCAATATTTGGCAGATGTAGCACATGCTTACTTGACAAGACAGTGGGTTGCCAAATAAACCTTTTCTGCAAACATTTGAAGCTCGAATTGTGACCAAATGCATGTGTTGCTAAGAACAACACTGTATTCTTTCCATACCTGCAATCTTTATTTTCATTTGTTGATGTTGGCAAAGGTTGCAACTAAACATTTAGGAC